GCCCCGGTGTTTAGTGGAATCCAGGCTAAAGGACAGAGCAGACCAAGCCCACCGGGAAGCCGTGACCACCTCCGCGCTGTGTTCTCTGAGCGCCAGGGACTGTGCCAAGGTAAGGAGCTGCGCCCTTGCTGGGACTCCTGTCCGTGACACCAGCGGGGCACTGGTGTGAGCCAAAGGACCCCGCAGCAGTGGGGCTGGCATGCCCTCAGCTCCCTGGGGAGAGGGTTCCCGCCGTCCTTGAGCAGGGACAGCACAAGGGCTGCACTCCAGTGGCCCAGCAGCAACTTCAGTCCCAGCAGGAGCTCCAGTGCTCCTGGCCACCAGCAAGTCCCTGGTTCTCAGTGAGGCCAGCAGCCTGTGGCCATGAGCCCTCCTCCCCCAGCAGGAGGGCCCTCTCTGCTCATCTTCTGCCATGAAGGGACTGCAGGCACTGCTGCCAGCTTTGCTGTGGGCACTGCTGTCAGCAGTGGTGGGCACGTCCGGCCAGGGCCCCTCGAGCTGCTCAACCAAGCAGCACCGTCAGGGCACTCAGCGTGACATGTCTTCCTTCCTTGCTGCCATAGGCCTTTGGAAAATACCTGCAGTCCCACGAGAGGACAGACGTCATCCTCGTGGCCATTGAGGCATTGGGCGATGCCAGCATCCTCGACCAGCAGGTGCCCAGCAGCCTGCTGGATGTGGCCTTGGAGGACCCGGACGTCTGGCTGACGGACGTAAGTGGCCTGTGGCTGCACTGTCGTGCCCTTCAGCCCTCTTGGGCCTTGTTCCTCCCTGCATCCCTCCCTCCCGAGCACAGGGGACTCGGGCCCCCCCAGACCACCTCAAGGCAGCAGAGAGGAATGGGAAGGGCAACTGAGCACATGACTGCACTCCGGGGGCAGTGCCATCCTCACCTGTATCCCCTGCAGGCGCCCAAGATAGTCAGCTGCATCCTTGCAAACCTGCCATACTGCAGCACACAGGCAGCGTGGGAGAAAGTGGAGTCACTGCTTCGCCTGATGACCAACCTGTACCCCACCACAGTGGTCATCCTCCTGTGTAAGGCGGCTCTTCAAGGAGACAGGTACTGGCCCTGATGGCCTTGAGGGTGGGCTTCTTCCCTGTGGGGAAAGGGACCCCGAGACTCTCTGACTGCCAGAGCCAAGGAACGCTGCGGGACAGCCTGCAGAGTCAGGCCCTCCATCCCCCCACGCTTTCCAACCCTGCTGGCTGGGCTGGCTTCACAGCAGCCAAAGCTGGCCCAGCCAGCCCAGAGCCAGCCCGGTGCTCCAGCCCCACGGGGAACATGCCCTCAGCCCCATCCTGCCCGCGCGGGCAGGGCCCCCGGGGACACGCAGTCAGGGCTCCAAGGGGTAGGTTCTGGGGGGCTGCTCCAGGCCACAGCACTGGGGCTGAGGCAGCCCTGCTGACAGCGCTCTGCCTTCCAGCACTGCGCCGGAGCTGTGGGAGCTGATGTCCTCCATGCCGGAGACGCTGACCAAGATCTTGGAGGACTTTGCCAACCTGCTGCGCAGACAGTGCTTCCGCTGCTCCGCAGAAGGCCCCCGCACCCAGCCCATGGCTGTGAGTGACCACTAAAGGCCCTGGTCCCCTCCCACCAGCCCTGCAGGCTCTGCCGGCCCCTCACGGCTCTGTTTGCTCCTGCAGTCATCCTCCAGGAAGGCTGAGTGGGAGGAGTTGGCTGAGGAGCCCGACTCTGTCGAGAGCCATCAGGGCTGTCCAAACGTGAGGACGGCCAGGCTGCTGCTGGAAGGGCTTGTCAGGTTGTCGCAGAGAGCCGAGATGGTGAGCAGGGCGGTGTCAGGGGCAGCCCTGTCAGCAAACGGGGGCTGGGGCTGTGTGGAAAGCAGTGGCTTGGCCTGACCTGGCACTCACAATGTGGGGTGACTGCTCCAAACGCCCTCCCTGCCACGGTGGGGCCTGGGGTGGCTGCCTGAGGAGCTTTACAGGCACGACCCTCTTCACCTAATGGACATTCTCTTCTCTCTACAGGCCAGAAACATTGAACTCTTTCTGCCGGGCATGATGAAGATCCTGCAAGTTGGCAGCGAAGACGCCAAGATGAAGATCCTGCTGGCCTTGCAAAACGTTCTGCGTCAGCTGAAGAAGACCAAGGCCAGCTTCATCGCTGTGCAGCTTGTGGGGAGGCTCCTGCCCCTCTTTGACTCGGTAAGGCTGAAGTGGAGCCTGAGCCCCTTAGATGGCCACTGGGCAATGACAACTGCCCTGCAGCTTAGCCCTGCGAGCAGCACTTGGAGCCAGCTCCACTCCCCTGGGCTCTCCTGGGATGGCTTCTGGGCCGTGCAGCCCAGTGCTCCTTCTTCTGGGATGTGAGACCGGAGCCGCTGCCCTCCCCACAGCCATGATGACGGCCCTCTTCACTGTGGGCAGGGAGCTGCTGTTTGCAAAGTTCCCTTTTCCTGCTTCCTGCCAGGAGTGCTGAGCTGACACCCCCCAGGGCTCCTGGGCATCGGGGCAAGGGCTACTGGCA